GTGCCAGCGGCCGCCCAGCCTCTGAAACGCCAGCCCCCTCCTTTCCCAGCTGCCGCCGCCGCCCCGTCCGCCCCCCGCGACCGCCCCCCTGCTTCCCCCGCCGCCGTGGACCCGGAGGGGAGCGCCCCGCCGAGGGACCGGGGCCGCCCCGTCCGAAAAGTGCTCCTCCGCGGGGGAACCGGGAACCTTCCCCGCCTCCCCGGGGGAACCGGCAGCCCTTCCCCGCCTCCCCGGGGGAACCGGGAGCCCTTCCCCGCCTCCGCGGAGCACGGAGCGTCGGGGGAGCGACACGGGGCCGCTGGAACGGCCGTTGCGCCCGCAAGAGCTCCCTCACGGCCACGTCCAGCAGCTCCTTAGAAGTTGAATCGAGAATAAAGATGTCGCTGGCACCGTGCGGGGCAGGGGCAGCTCTGCCCGGCCCCCAGCCCGCTTCTACCCACGGCAGAGGGGCTGGGGGGGGAGGTAAAACGAGGAGCTCGGCTCTAAGAGGACTCCCATCCGGGCGTCAAATAAACCCCCACACAGTCAGTTACTGTTAGAAGAGTTGCACGGACTTTGAAAGCAACCCGCTAAACCTATTGTCTTTCGAGACTTCAGGATTTCATCTGAGATCATAAATATCATCCAGACATTAGCAGAGAGGTCTAAAAATCGTGTTTCTGCAAGTACGATCAGTTTCTTCATTTCCTAGAGAGTTCCTGGCAGTGGGTTAATTAAATCTCTGTTTTAAACGTGTTTGAGCTGCAGAGAAAGACTGGACTTAGTGAAAATTCTGGTCCCATTGCCAGGAGTGTGGATATACACCCCGATCAGAACCTCAATTTGACCCTTTGTTTAGCAACTGTTTCCTTCAGTCACATAAACATGCATAAGATTACAATGAAGAAATATTACATTCGATGCCAATCCTACTTTGTTTTTAATAAAACTCTCTGGGTTGGCTCATATGTGATTGCAGTTAAATTTAGTTGCAAAAAAAAAGATGGTTTATTGTTTTTTTTTCCTACTGGTTTTACAGGGAGAAGGAAAAAGGGTGAAGAATTAAAGATTAATTCATACTTATTTGATTAAAAAGACGTTTCCAAAAGTTTTGACTCCAGAAGATTCTTCCAGCTTAAAATACTAGGAGATGATATGCTTCTGAACATTCTAGAATTGTGCAAGGCTTTATTCCAGGCTTTTTGCCTTTTCTGGGGTTTGTGAGAGGCTGTGTGCACCCTCGCTTGCCTGCCACTACCCTGCCTTTGCTGGGGAGTCAGTGGCAGCAGTCTAGGAGGACTCCTGCTCCAACAATGTGAATAATTGGCATGAGCTTTTCTGTA